ACGGCCTGCAGAACCCAGGTGCACCCCCAGAAGGAGCTTGCAGACAAGCACAGCTGGTGGGTTACAGCTGTGCATTGTCGTGCTTTCCGCAGTGGCAGCTCGACCTTAGGTATATATAACAGATATGGCTGACGTTGGGCCCAAACTCAGAATTTAGCCCCATTATATCTGATCCCAGACATAATCTCTTGATGTGGTTGGGGAGATGACTCAGTCAGGCACAAGGAGACCAATTTAATCTCCAGGACCCACTTCAAAAAAAAAAAAAAGCCAGGGGTGATGTGTACACCTAGAACGATAGCACTGGGGAGGCAGAGGTGTTTGCTGGCCAGCCAGTCTTGCCTTCAGAAGGGTGACCTTCAGATTCAGTGAGAGATCCTACCTCAAAAACTAAAGTGGAGAATGGTTCAGGGGGACAACTGATGTGCAGACTGCACATGGCAGTCCTTTGTTCATCCTAGCTTGATGCCTGGCTTGCTGGCCAAACCTGTTTCATGCCTAGGTCCCATAAATGAACAAATAAGTAAATAAACAAACAAATAAATAAACAAGTTCTGGGCTATGTGAGACTTTCTGCAAATCAACACACAAAAGAATTGGTTTTTCACTCCTCCAGAATGGCTACCTACTTTGTGTGTACAGCCTGTCAATCATATCCTTTACAGCTATAAATTAACCATGAAGACTCTGTATCTCATATACCCACCACTTTAAAAGCACTTTGATGCACATTGTATGCCAACATAAGTTAAACATCTTTTCTAGGGCTAGGGTATAGCTCAGTGGTAGAGTGCTTACCTAGCATGCCTAAAGCTGTAGGTTCAGTCCCTAGGACCACAAAATAATAACAATACCTACCATATATAAAAACCTCTTTCCACAAGGAAAATTGCTGTTAAGCACAAATGTTATCTGAAATTACAAAATTGTAGTTAAATTTTAAATAAGTTTACAGTTTGAGTAAAGAAATTTAGGTTGCCCTTTTCTGGGAACATACTTAACAATGTAGAACTAATTCTATTTTCAAAATGTTAGTTTTTCCTTTTCTGCTTCACTTTAGTAACACTGAACAGCTCAGTCAGCCCACCCCTTCCGTGTTCCACGGGGCTTCTTCACACATGACCTGTTCTCTCACTTGCAGCTTGGTACCACAGACCTCACAGGCATGTATCCACACATGTATGTGGAGACCTCAGGCAACACATTCAGGCCCCATTTCCCTGACAATTCTC